TATGTGATAAATTGGGTGTAGTTATTCCCTGACTAGATTCTTATCAGTTGCCGTACTCTGATATATGAACCTTTCTTTTGCCACTCATAAGGTAACAAATAAAATGTACTAGTAGTATGCCAAAGACTCATATTGCGAATAGAATGGTGCTAATTGCAAGTAGCATTGCAAACTTGAGATATCATGAAACCAAGGTCTGAATCAAATATCCTCCTAAACGACTAGTAGTTAGGTGAAGATAAGATGGACCATAAAGCCAGAGCTTGAAAACGTTTTGCACCAGTCATGTTCGTCACTGGTAGTGAACACCATTAAAGCTTACGATGGTCTTTGATTCTCATTTCAGTATCAAGCATAAGTTCTTCATGAATGCAACCCGAATTCACATCTTGACTTGGAGGCCATGGAGAAACTGTAAGAACTGAAGCGTCAGAGAAACGAAGAAATAACCAAATTCAGAAAGCAACAGATATGTTGCATGTTTACATATAACTGCACATAAGCAAAAGGCATTGATTACAGAAACAAGAATGGACTGAGGTGGTTCTATGGACTTATGATTGAGGCGAACATTAATAATGTGAAACAATTTGTTTCCCGCAAAGACAATACAGGGGCACATTGAACCAGCTGGGAATCTGGCGTTCATACAAAGCTGATCTTTCAGGCTGTATGCTAACAATAATTAAGCATAGGTTGCTCATGAATTTAGTATAGGGCCAGATGCCGCAAAACATATCTGGACGATTTGGTAATCTTGAGTCATGCAAATTATTTGCGATCCAAGTGGAGCGAGGCCAAAAAATAAAAGATACGAAAGTCCTCATAAAATATTTTTGAGATCTAGTGTGGTAGCACTGAATATGGTCAGCACATAATCAAATTCAGTTTTTTCTCGACTGCTGAAAACCGAATCAAGAATTTATACAATGTTCTATCGTCGGCGACATTACTTTACGTTGTTCCAACAAATTTCTTAAGTTCCTCTTGCCCCTGATCTGCAGTTGTTGCAATGGACTGTCTGCAGTCTCTTAGAACCAAGGTATATGCTCCTTGGCTCAGTAATGGTCTGCTCGTCTTGCAGTAATCAATGAACGCGTCTGTCAAATGAGTTAATCGGTTGAAGTCCTGACTGGAAGAGGTCATAAACTCATCCAGTGCGGAGTACATCTGAAGTCGGTCTTAAGAATGAGTGATGACAGTTGCAACTGCCTGAAACTCTGAAACTTGCACCTAATGTAGCTAACGTGAGATGAATTGCACTCTCTATGTACCGGCTAACAATGCCGTTCCAGTATGAAATCAAAAACGAACATGAAAGATCTTTAAACATTTCAGCCAAAACCATTAGGCGGGAGCAGTCCAACTAGAACCGAAAAGATAACTCAAATAACAGCATACTAATGACGTCAGTAGATTACAAAATTTAGTCCAGCTTACAGGCTTTCAGCACGACAACATGATATCAAAATTTTAAAAATCCGAATATCTGTACCACCTGAATAATTGCGACTCTGTAAAGTTAACTGCTGAGGCATGTACTGAGGTCAACCAACAATTCGATGGGAAGTTAGTCGGAGTCAAAACGAGATTTCTCGAGCCTCCAACGGTCATACTGTAATATACTTTGCCACAGAGTGCCTTTAATCTCTGAATCAAAAACACTGTGCTGTCAGATCTCGGTTGGATGATGACTCCGCAAAGGATGCGAAGATTTATTCAGTGTTCATGCCCTACAAATGGACGATAGAATACGGATATATTCTCCAATGGGATCGGCGATTTAGAAATAGGGCAGCAAGATTTCAGCAGCGTTAGCGAAGTTTGTTGCCCCTCACCGATCGGCAAAAAATCCTCATATATTTGGAATATTTAAAGTAAGATAAGAAAGGTACATAAATAATGGTGCTGTATATCGATCATCGATGTTTCAACTGGTAAGTGTTTCACTGATCTAGTTCGTGAAGGACTTGAACTAGATCAAAAGCGAAGATATCAAAATGAAAAATTAAAGACTTAAATGTCTGCAATCACTTATCGACAGGGAACATCTCTCGCCAGGACAACCATCTGGTGAGG